AACTGCATCGTCTGGGCTCATTAATTGTTGGTAGCTGGTGCCATGGTCTGTCTCTGGCCCTTTCATGGGAGCTCTTACAAGTGGCATTTTCCATTGCAGGTGATATTCTCAAAATAATTAGCATTGAGGTATAAGTCAGAGAGGACCATATTTGCTTGGGGTCCAAAAATATTCTGGAACATAGCGAGCCTTTCAGATAAGTCATGGCGTTTCTTGCAGAATCAAGATGTCTTCAGCTAAGTTTTCCCTGGTTTCATCCCAGGGCGGTGACATATGGCAGTGTTCTACTCTTGACATCCCCCTTCGGAGCGGAATGAGATTTGAGTGAATGAAAGAGGACCACCTTATATTCCATCTGGGTACAGCCACCATCCCACAGGGTTGTCCCAATGTCCCTTTGCTCACCCTAAGCTTCAGTCAAGATGTACTAACATCGCAGGAGGGGAACTCATGAAGTCTCATGATGGATTGAGTCCCGCCGCCCCCACCAAGTTATGCATTAGGAATCATGACCTCTGTTACTTCGCTGATTTGGAAAGAGGGTCTTGGTTATGACCTCTGTTACTTCGCTGATCATCCCGTTTGGAAAGGGGTTCCTGGTTAGGTAATGAGCCAGACTAGAGGTGATTTAAGTCAGTCTCTTTTCAGTTAGGAAGGAAAGGAAACAAGGAAGGAAGAGCAGTAGACCGGGGTGAGATAGGTGCCAAGCAACGCTAAGGAACAAAGATAAAGAGACAAGGACCTTCCTTCCGGCCAACGGACAGAGAAAGCATTCGCTGAACGCTGGTGCTTTGGATGCGAACTTCTAGACTCCTAAACTATGAGAAAGTAATTTTCATTTATTGTTTTGTTTGTTTTTGAATTTTAATAAACCATTTTACTGGGGGCTCTGACAGCTCTTGTCACAATCCATACATCCATTATATCGAGCACATGTGTACATACGTTGCCATCAGCATTTCCAAAACTTTTTCTTTCTACTTCAGCCCTGGGTATCCGCTCCTCTTTTTTCCCCCTCCCTCCGTCATAATGATTATTTGTTAAAGCCCCCCCTTGTTAAGGAAGCAGGATCTCTAAGAGCAGCTTCTCAGGAAAGATCCTACAAACTGGACTGAGGGACTTTTGGAGGGCTGTTCACGGTGTGTGCCCCTGTAGCTC